AGGGGAGATGCACGGCCAGTGGCCACAAGGCCAGGGGACACGATGAGTGCACAGCAGACCCCGCTCTGTGCCCCGCCACCCCTTCCCGGCCCCACGGCCCTCCCCACCTTGTTTTCCTCCAAGAACTTGAGCTTGATGGCCACATCAGCACGCAGCTTTTCATACTTGTCCTTGTGGCTCTGGAACTGGCTCTGGGCTGCGTCCAGCCGGCACAGGGTGCTGGCGTCCCGAGGGCCCATGCTCAACTCCTCCAGGTCCGTGCGGTACGCGTCATACTCCAGCCTGTGCGGGGACAGCCGGCATCGGAGCCACACTGCGGCTTTTTTTTCCCGAGCCCCCGCCGGCCATGTTGCTGTCCTACCTGGCCGTCTCGTACTGCTTGACCGTCATGAGCGTATCCTCCATGGTCTTGTTCACCAGCGTGTTGATGCTGGAGACAAAGAAGTTGACAGCCCCCAGTAGTGTTTCTCCGTTCTTGCAGAGCAGTTTCTGTGTTTCTGCGTTGTAACCGAACTCCTCCTGGGAGAGGAGGAGGAGGAGGAGGAGGAGGAGTCGGGGTCCGTACCAGCGAGACCCCTCTCACCTCCCACATGCCCAGAATCAGCCTGGCCCCAGGTGCTCGCCGAGCAGTTACCCCCAACCTCCTCCTGCTTCTCCTCACACCTGGGGTGCTGCGGAGCAGAGAGCCGCCCCCAGCTGTGCTGCAGAGCCTGGGGCCGATTTTTTTTTCCTCCCCAGGCGTGAAGGGCTGCAGCACAGGCAGAGCAAGGCCACCGCCCAGCGGGCATACCTGCAGCTCAGGAGACTTCTGGCTGAGGTCCGCAAAGGCATCCCCCAGGGCGTGCTGCGTCTGCACCAGGCTGTAGAAGTGGTTGGTGAGAGCCCGCGCGAGCTGCAGCACGCACTCGTACTTGCGCTTTGTCTCCCGGAGCAGCTCAATCTGCGTCTCCAGCTCCAGGTCCACGGTGCGGGAGCCCCGGCCAAACCGCTCCGAGATCAGCTGCTTGGTGCACTGCAGGGCGAGGGAGGGAGGCGTCAGGAGGCCCCGGGTCCGCTCCCTGCTGCAGAGCCATCCCCAGGAACACTGC